CCCACTGAGCCACGCCCCCAGCCCCTCACTGGGGGATTCTAGGCAGGGGCGCTACCATTGAGCCACGCCCCCAGCCCCTCACTGGGGGATTCTAGGCAAATGATCTACCCTGAGCCACGCCCCTGGGGTATTCTAGACTACTAGACAACTGCTCTTCTATCACGCTACGTTCCCAGTTGGTTTTTTTTTTTTCCTACAGGAAGTGGTTCTCAGCCTGGGGCAGGAGACTTATGCCTTTCTTGCTCTGGCTGCCCTTTACCTTCATACAGCCTAGCCTCTTAGCCCCACCCCAGGGCCTGATCTTTTCTATCTCCCTTCCTCCTTCCTGCTTTCCTTCATTGATGGCAAAGCCGTTGTTCTCTTCTTCCTAAGTCTTCCCACCTGGAAGACACGCTCAGTGTGATTTCCAGTCGCTCTCTGGTCAGTAACTGCCTAGTTGCTCTGTTTACTCCGCCTTCTCCACCTCTGCTGCTCTGCCCAGAGGGGCGACTCTGTCTGCACTTGTCACCCAGTAGCTCTTGGGAGAATTTATGTCTTTACCCAGGTTTTTAAAAAAATACATATTAGGTGCTTACTCTGGGCCAGGAATGTTTGGTTCTAACTCCTCCCACCCCCTTTTGGGACAGGGTCTCACTATGTAACCCTAGCTGGCTTGGAACTTACTGTGTAGCCCAGGCTAGCCTTGAACTCAGATATGTGCTTGTTTAGTGTTGGGACTAACAACATACGCCCACCATGTCCAGTGGTTGACTTTATAAATAAATTTATTCATTTGTTGTTTTTTTATATTATTTTTAAGATTTATTTTTGTCTTTGTGTGTGTCTGTGGGGCTGTCTGCCATGAGCGTGTGGGTGCAGATATGGAGGGCCAGGAGAGGGTATGAGATCCCCTGGAGTTAGAGCTACAGACCGTTGTGAGCTGCCTGGGAATAAACCTGGGTCCCAGTCCCTGAGCTCTCTCTCCAGCCCTTACTTTATTAATTGGAGACAGGGTCTCCAGTATCTTACTTAGCCTTGCCTTAAACTAACACAGCCCTGGCCTTGAACTTCTGCTCTTCCAGCCCACATTTCCCAATACTAGGCTGACAGGTATGTGCTACCCCTCCAGGTTTATGTGGTGTTGGGGATAGACTTGGGATTCAGACATATTAGGCAGGCACTGCACCCAACAAACCACAGCACTTTGTCTGCTTTTGGTTTTTAGACAAGGTCTCATTGTAGCCCAGGCTGGTCTCAAAGTTATTCTGTAGCCCAGGCTGGCCTCAGAGTCACTCTGTAGACCAGGCTGATCTTCCTGCCTCTGCCTCTGAGTTCTGGGATGACAAGTAGGCACCACTGTGTGCTTTGTCCATGCATTGGTTGAGTACTTACTGTGTGCCTAAGGGTCACGCCATCTTTTGCAAAGTCAAGGTCTGTTTCTCTAAAGCATAATTACAGTCATACTCTCTGCCGACACCTCAGTACAAAGTCTAAACACTGTCTGGCCTTTGGAGCCCACACAATTGCCCAGGACTTGCATTCCATGGGACTGGCTACTCTCTCTTCTCCCCCTCTTTCCCTCCCTCTCTCCCTCTTGCTCTCATTCCCCCTCCCTCTCATTCTTCTTTTCCCTTTCTCCCTCTCTTTCCCTCTCCTTCTCCCTTCCCTCCCTCTCTACCTCTCTTTCTCCCTCCCCCCCTCTTCTTCTCCCTCTCTCTCCCTCTCCCTTCTTCTCTCCTCTCTTTCTCCCTCCCTCTCTTCCCCCTTTCTCCCTCTCCTCTCCCTCCCTCCCCCTCCCCCTTCTCTCCCCCCCATCAGCTGACCAGACTTTGTATGGTTTCACTAAGGTCTTCTTAGTTCTCTTTATAAGCTGTAAGTAGCGGACATCTTCTGTTGAACCCAGCTGTCATGGAAGGGACACTGAATTAGAAAAACATGAAGACTGGAGTTCGATCCCCATCACCCACGTCAAAAGGCAGCGTGTGCCTGTAATTGCAATGCTAGAGAGACAGGAGACAGGAGGAGCCCTGGGGCTTGATAGTAAGCTGGCCTCATTGAGTCAGTGAGGTCTAGATTAAGTGAGATACCCTGTCTCAAAAAATAAGGTGAAGGGCCAGCAAGATGGCTTAGTGGGTAAAGGGGCTTGCCACCAAGTCTGGTCATCTGACTTTAATACCTGGTATCCATATGTCAGAAACAGAAAATGGATCCCGGTAAGTTGTCCTCTGATGTCCATATGCGCCCAAGTGTATACACACCCATCCACACCCACACGGAATGAAATGCACAGGGACTGAGGAAGGCAGAGCTAACCCCTAGCCTAATGTACGGCAAGCAGTTCACTAAGGGAACCATCTCTAGCCCCACTGTGCCTGCTCTTCTTTGTCCTGGGGAATCAAAGTCTAAGTAAAGGGAGGCTTTAGGTACATTTATTTATTTTCTTAAACGAATTTATGGTGCGTGCGTGCGTGCGTGTGTGTGTGAGCACGCACACGTGTGCACATGCGTGCATGCCTGTGAAGGTCATGGAACAACTTTTGGGAATTGTTTCTCTTTGGCCTATGTGGATACCAGGGATTGAATTGAGTTCATTAGGCTTGGTGGCCAATAGTTTTCCCTCTGAGCCATCTCACCGTCTTGCTGGCTCCAAAAGGATGTTTCAGAGTAGGTAGAAATAAGACTTAGTCACCGAAGAGTTGCAGGGAGCCCAGGCCACCTGGACCAGGAAGCTGGCTGGCCGCCACCCCTTCTGTTTCTTTCTGGATGCTGGTTTCATTTTCTCTACCCGTCTTGCCTCCGTCCCGTCTCTCCTTGACTCATGAGTGTAGCCTGGTCCAGTGTGACTGTTATAAAAGCTGGTTTCAGCTCCTGTTCATAGACCCCCTCCTGGTGGCATCCCCCTTAATCCTGGGTTGCCAGAGAGACCAAGTGAGGGGGCTACCCCCATCTGCTTAGTTGGTGGTTGACTGGGGCTGGGAACAGCTGGTATAATCTGTCAGGCAAGTTTTGGGTGCCTGAAGTTCTGTGCACATGCTCGTGCATGCATGCGTGCGTGAGTGTGCCTAAACAACTGGGGTGTGGCTATATATAG